CTGTCTTTGGTGGCAAAACATTTTGCAGACTCCGGACACACCTTCGCATTTCAAAATGCAGAAATTCTGGGTCGAGGAATTGACCGCGTAGTCAGAGAAAAAATCGACCCCTGGCACACGGGGATAGCCTTAATCAACCGTTGTGTGGCGCTCCCCACAGCCTACCAAGCCTTCCGAACGCAGCTCAACGAGCGAAGTCGCAAACGTGGACACAGGCCTAACATGACTCAGTCAACGGTGGACACACTCGGAGCCGCACAGACATCGGGACCTGATAAAGGACGGGCCTCATCGCAGCCAGTTTATCTAATCAGCCTGCAAAGGCGAAACTAGACGAACGTGTTAGCGAAGGCAAGAGTCTCAGCCTGGGACGACAGCTAAGGTCGGAGAGAATATTGGAGACAGTTGAACAAGAACAGCAGCCTGGTACGTCAGCTGAGATCGATGCGGGTACGGTTAACAGCTGCAAAGGCACGAAGAACCTCAGTGACTCTAGCTTGGGCTGCGTTTGAGTAACTGGGAGTTAATTGTAAAAGTCCTTGGCTTTCATGGGTTAGACCTACTACTGTACGTCATCACGCCGATAAGTCTTCTAGAACCTTGCTCCTGGCGATGACGAAACTATAAATAAAGGCTGTAAACATTTTCAAAAATAAGACAACTTATGGTGAGTTTAATCATCTCCTTACCCAGTTTTAGAGACTATAATTGGGCATAAGGACAAATTATATTCACACTTCCCATATAGCAGTCGATTCGATAATATATCGAAAGGATTAAACCGACTATTCGTGGGCACAGAGATGCACTTCTAAGTAGCAGTATGAACAACAAATTCCAAGGAATGGATATGATGGATGGAGTCCTTAAGAGGAGGTACCTCTCGAGGTGATTCACCCAACAAACACACTGGACAATACAACACTCAAAAGCTTGTTGCAACTAGCTCGCGTCGAAGTGAACTTTCCTAAAGTCCCGCGGCCGTTAATCTGGACGTCTGGGAACAGGCAATCACAGTTGCCGCATTAATGCCTTCTGGGCCGGCGAAGAATAGCAAACCCGCACGCGTAAAAGCTTGCTCTCTGGGCCGCGGGGATTTCCTGCCACACTTCGGAACACGCCGCTTTAGCAGAAGGTCGTGCTCTCTGAAGTCAAATCTCTTTTCATCTATTCTCCGTTCCTCTGTATACAAAATATACTGTTCCCACTACTCTGGCCTCTGCCGACTTCTTCTCTGCTAAGT